CTCTCTCTCTCTCTCTCTCTCTCTCTCTCTCTCTCTCTGTTGCGCGCGCGCGCTCGCAGCGCCCTACCGTGCTGCTCCAGCAGCATGACCCGCAAGAAGTGAGCTACTCGAACTGTGTGTCTGCTCTGGCCTGGCCCAGCTATATGTAGCGGTGGGCCTCGCTGGTGTCCCTTCGTCTGCCGCTGGTCCTGGCCTGAAACGGCCTGCCGGGGTCCCTACTGGATGTCCAGGCCCTCCATGCTGATGCAGCAGGGAGTGTCCACTACTGGAAAAATATGGACCTGGCCCGAAAGGGCCTGCCTGCCAACGCACAAGGCCCAAAACGTGGCCTTTGTCCGAACAGACCGAAAGTCTGTTCGGACCAACTGCAAGTTCGAAACGATGCCTGAACAGACAAAAATAGGAGAGCAAGTAAATAATAAATAAATAAATGTTGCCTCAAATCAAATCCTGCGGCCCTAAGGCCGGCCGTGGTCCTCCAGGGCGTGCGCCTTAAGGGTGTGCAGCCTGGGGGCCCCCAACAACCGTTGGGCCCGCAAAACAGGGCCCGTGTGCCGGCTCAGCATGTAACACACTACCGACCTACCACTACTCCTAATTATAGTTATACGGGGAACCCACTGTAGCAGTCAGCACCGTGTTCACAAGAGAATATGCGAGGGCTGCTCCCGACCTGCAGGTGGGCGATACCGGCCAGGGGACAGCTGGTAGCATCAGGGACCATGCCAACATGACCAATCCCTGTGCCTCCCCTCAGGTCCCCTCCCCTACGGACATCAGCGGACTCTGCTCAATACCGATTGGGGGATCCAGTGATCTATCTCTAGGTGGCAGGTGCCAAGCATCCCAGGAAGGTACATGAGGCCAATGGGGATTGAATCCACGACCTCCTGAAGGCCACTTCCGAGCATTACCAACTGAGCTAGGCTGCTGGATCTGCGCTGTGATTTCTGGGTAGAAGGTCTCTGTTTCTTTTTTTTTCTTGGATGCCTTTCTCCCATTTTCTCAGACCAAAATTTATTTATGAACCTATCATGCTGCTGCCATACAGTGTTACACTTGATCGGCCATACTCCTATCCGACTGCTAATGGGACCACGGGGTGGTATGTCTGTTTTTCTGGGTCTGGGTGTGTTTTTCTCTGTGGGTGCGGATGTGTTGTCAAACAAACTGAAAATAGAAAAACACTGCTATGGCTGACTACTTGCTCGGTGTGGCATACTGCGCAGCCACACGGGCCTGCAGGGCCCGACCAGGGTTCTCAGCCTAAAAGCCTGAAAACAAGGGCCTACAGGCCCTGTGTCGTTTTAAGCCTAAAAGCCCGAAAACAAGGGCCTACAGGCCCTGTGTCGTTTTCAGCCGGAAAGCCTGAAAACGAGGGCCTACAGGCCCTATGTCGTTTCAGCCTAAAACAGGGCTCTCCAGGCCCTGAGTCTTTTCAGCCTGAAATGGAGGGCCATTTTGAGGCCCTCATAAGATCGACCTGCCCTGAAACTTAGGCACCAGACCAGGGTTTTAGCACAGGCCATTTTGGGCCTGTTTTCAAGACAACCTTTGTTTGAACTTCAACGCCAGGGTCTGACACGTTTTGGCATTGGCAAGAGCAGCCTCCTGGATGGGCCAGCACTATATAAGACTGGCCCGCCCTACAGGCCGCAGGTAGTCACGAGGCAGTTCATAGGGACTTCCCAGGCACTTCAGGTGCAGGAGGCAGGAGGCAGTCTTCAGGATTCGGCAGCAGCACTTTGGAGGAGCGCTGCAGTAGTAGTAGTAGCGTTAGCAGTAGTCTTCAGCGCTGGGCGCTATTATGAGCTAGAGTAGCATTGGAGAGAGAGAGATGGTTGGTGGAGGCCAGGGAGACTTACCTGTGGCGCCATAGCTCCAGCTTCATCTTCGATGTACCTGCAACAAGGCGCCACCTTCGCAGGTTAGTACCGGACTGAGAGAGAGAGAGA